CTAACACCTATCCTTACAATATCCAATGCACTTTAGAATGATATGGCAAATCCACACTGAATACCCCATCATTCAACTTTAGCATGTTACAGAACTGACAATGCTATGTTGCATTTGCACGAATATAGTTAACAAAAGTTATAACTTGTGGCAAAGTGTCACTTAAAATAGTAGTTTTAGCATAGAGATTTTGCTGATATAAGGCACAATGAAAATAAATGAGAGCATCTGGATCTGTTAATATTTTTTTTAACCTGTGCAATAAACTCTTATTCATGTTTTCCTGTTGTGGAAGGTGCACCATTTGTACATACACTCACTAAATTTACCAAATTCAGTCCAACTTCATGAGATTTATCTTGAAAGTTGTTGAAGATATCTATTCCCTGTGTACTGTTTGCAAGAGTGGCCAAAGCAAGTAACTCTTGGTAGCACAGAAAATCTTCTGTTATGAGCCAAATGAAGTATAAAACCTGCACTGAGTCAGTAGTATCAATTAATTAATCCAAAGTGATTGAATAATATATATTTTCCTTTTGAAGTATTGCATGAAGTTTTTATGTTGACAGTGAATTTATTCTGCTGATCAGTTATGGTTCTCCTTGAAAGAGGCAGCTATTTGTACTTTGAAATGTTATCAGAGTCTAAGCATCCTACCACTTCAACAATGCATTCTTTCACAATTTCTACATCACTGAATGGCTTCCCTGTTTGCCGAGTATATAAAGCTACTTTATAAATTGTTTAAGTGGCATTATTTCCAGGTCTTATTGCTGCTTGAAAGAATTGTCTTTGCTTTTCATCTTTTAATTTCAGCAGTACAACCTTTCATGACTCTCCTTCTAATTAAAAATATCTGTGGTCCTTATGCATGTTATAATGCTGATGAGTATTGAAATTCTTTAATGTTGATATTACAGTATCACAAAGTAAACAAATCATCTTATCTTTAGCAGAAAGAAGATAATATTGCAATTCCCAATCCTTATTAAAAAATTTATTTATTTCCTTTAGCATTCTCTTCGTTTTCTTTGACATGATGGCCTGTTAAGCAGACAGAATTAAAAACTACTGTCAGGCTGTGTAACTATTCACAAATTCCACTTCAAACAGAAACACAGTGCATGTTGTCAAAAGCTGATAACAGACTGGTATACTCAACTCCCATAAACTCTCACCAACCAGCCTCATAGGGTAGTGGCGCCAGTCAGGAGGCGGAAGTCAGAACTAAATCCTGAGTATAGCAGCCGTCAATTTAGCACTAATTACTTACTAATATTCTAATTGTGCCAGTCAATCTGGGAGGATTATTTCATTGAAACTTATTTTATTCTTTGGTATTTTAAATACATCCCTTTTAAAAATAAAATAAAAATATAAAAGACAAACAAAAATGTATTAGTAAAAATAAAAGGATTCATTCTCTAAAATTTGGATTCAGTCAAAAGGCTACACTTAAGGACCTTAAGCCACAGGTTCCTCACCCCTGACTTATCAATGCATCTGTTGAATATCCATTTGGGTTGTTTATACCTTTTTGGCTATTACAAATGATCCTGTTTGAACATTTTTGTACCCATATTTTTATGTATTTAATATTTATGGCTTCATTTCTTATGGTAAATACAAGGGAGTGAAATGACTGAGTTGTATACTAGGTGTATGTTTAACTATCTTGCTAACTACTTCCAACAATGAAAAACAATGGCCATTCCAACAGTAGCCAAACTCTTGTATCATTTTACATTCCTACTAGCAGTGAGAGTTGCAACTGCTGTATATCCTCACCAAAACTTGTTATGGTTAGTCTTTTTAATTTTAGCCATCCTAGTGCGTGTGTACTGGTACCTCAGTATGGTTTTTTATTAATTTTAGTAATGACTAATGATGTTGACAATCTTTTTATGTGATTTCCCAGCCATGTATCTTCGCTGGTGAGATGTATGATCAAATCTCTTGCTCATCAGATTTTTTTTCTCAGTATTACTGAGACGGAGAGATGAGTTCTCAATATATTCTAGTTATATATATAAGTCCTTTGTTGGATATATGTTTAGAAATATTTCAGTTTGTGGCTTGCCTTTTCATTTTCTTAGCAGTATCTTTATTAAAGGCCTACATGTAGAAAAAAAAAAAAGAAACCTTCATATGGCCACAGCTCACATGGAAGACTTAGGAGTTTTAGTTGACCATGGTCTTAATAAGAGGTAAGGGTGTGATGTTGCTAATAAACTCAGGCTTCATTTTAAAGATAATGAGAAGTAATAATTTTATAGAACTATTTTTAATTGTTGGGCTAAATGTTAAATGGAATATTGTCAAATTTAAATGTATTCAGAGAAAGTAGATTAGGAAAAACTGAAGGAACGTGGCCTGGTCTAGAAATGAAAGGACTAAATGGACATAAAAGATTTCGCAAATTTGAAGGCTTTCCAGAGTAATAGAAGAATAAAGAGGATAGGACTTGTATTTAGAGGGATATGGATTAAAATCCTGACTACTCTGCTTAATAGCTGTATATTAGGCATAATACTCTTAAGACTAAGTCTTCATGTTGGTAACACTAGTAGTACATATTAAGTATTAAATGATATTATTCCTAAGCTCATTATTATAACTGATATTGATGTCAAGAATCATTTCTTATATAACTTTTAGCGATTCATAGGATGATTGGGATATCTGTTATGCTAAGGTCTCCTGTACAAAAATGGCACTTTATTTGGAAGGTGCATCAGTGTATTAGCTATCTAATTGTGTAAGAAATGACCCCAAATCAAGTAGATTAAAATAATAAATATTTATTATCTCACAATTTCTGCTAGGGTTTAGGAATTTAGGAACAGCTTGTCTGGCTCAGGGTCTCCCATGAGGTTGCAGTCAATATGTCAGCCAGAGCTGCAGTCAATTTAAAAGACTGACTGTGGACAGAAAGCTCAGGTTGTTGGGCTTGCTGTTAGTGGAAGGCCTCAGTTTCTCACTATGTAGCTTTTCAGTTTTGGAGCAGGGGGCAGGGTCTTTCTCTGCTGCCCCAGCTAGAGAGCAGTGGCATCATCATAGCTCAGGCTCCTGCCTCAGGCTCCCACATAACTGGGACTACAGGCCCACACCACCACACCTGGCTAATTTTTCTATTTTTTGTAGAGACAGGGTCTCGCTCTTGCTCAGGCTGGTCTCTAACTCCTGAGCTTAAACGATCCTCCCACCTCAGCCTCCCAGAATGGCAGGATTATAGGCATGAGCCACCACACCTGGCCCACGTGGCTTTTCATAGTACAGCATGAGTATTCTTATAACATGGCAGCTGGCTTCTCCCAGAGTGAATAATCCAAGTGAAAGAACAAGGAAGAAGTCACAAAGCCTTTTATATCCGAATTTCAGAAGTTACATGTTGTCACTTCTGCCACGTTGTATTTGTTTAAAGTAAGTCACTACAACAACCCATACATAAAGACAGAATTAGGCTCCACCTTTTGAAGAGGGTATTATCAAAGAATTTGTGGATATATTTTAAAAACACAGCCACCAACCAGGAAACTCATGCAGAAAACGATTTTAAAGATGTTTCTGATGTTGCTGACTTAGGAAAGAAGTATTCAGCGTTTGTCCCCCTAACCAGGCAGCTGGACCTAGATTTCCTTTAATCTTCCATCACATCGAATCCATTTCCCCCATTTTCTTCCTAAAATATTGGGTTCACCCCAGGTAAAGAAATATTTCAACTATTTTTCATAAAATTCTGACATCAGGGATATACCTCCAGATTTTCCCTATAAAAGGAACCCACTGGGTTCCCAAAAATTCACTGGGCTTTTACCTTAAGTGTTTTGGTCAATCAAGATAACTCATGTTATTCTGCTAGCTGAGACTTAATCTTCATGTTATATGAAGAATATTTCTCCTGCCAATCTGACCTATCTTATGTTTCCTATGGCTGCTACAACAAATTATTACAAACTGGGTGGCTTAAATAATAGAAGTTTATTCTTTTACAGTTCTGAAGGTCCTACATTCAAAATCAAAGTGTCAGCAGGTCCTTGCTCCCTCTGGAAGATCTAGGGGAGAATAGGTTTTTGTTTCTTCCAGCTTCTGGTGGATCTTGGCATTCCTTGACTTTTAGCTGTATTACTCCTTCATACAGGAGTTGCCTCCTCCTGTGTTATCTTCCTTTGTGTTGCTCTTATAAGGACACTTGTCTTTAGTAGGGCCCACCAGGAAAATTCAGATAATGCTCCTCTTAAAATTCTTAATCACAGGCTGGGCGGGTGGATTACATACTTTGCCTTATAAAGTAATATTCAGTCTTTTACCATAGAAGGCAATATTTATAGGTTCTGGGGATTAGGATGTGGCCATGTCTTTTTGGGGGCCACCATTCAGCCCACTATACCTTGTATCTATTAGCTTGGCAAAATAGGAGAATAAAAAGATCCTTAAGATAGCCCCTACTCTTATGACTATAACTTTTGTTTCTTAAAAGTTACTGTAAATAATTAAGATAATCACATGCCTATAAGTGTCTTCTTGGAAAAAGTGGGATTTACAATTTTTCAAGTGTGATGTAAAGTTGAGAAATATTGCTGTAATTTTTTTTTTTTTTGAGACAGGGTCTTGCTTTGTTGTCCAGGCTAGAGTGTAGCAGTGTCATCATAGCTCACTGCAACCTCAAACTCCTGGGCTCAAGTGATCCTCCCAACTCAGCCTCACAAAATGCTAGGATTAGAGGCATGAGTCACCATGCCCTGCCTAGTTGATTAATTATTTTTATCAAGTATTTTGTACATATATAAAAACACAGGCCAGGCAGGGTGGCTCACACCCATAATTGTAGCACTTTGGGCGGCTGATGTGGAAGGACTGCTTGAACTCAGATTTGGAGACCAGAATGGGCAATATAGCAAGACCCTGTCTCTAAAAAAAAAATTGTGTTTTTAAAATAAAATTTTGTAGAGACAGGGTCTCATTTTATCACCCAGCTGGAGAGCAGTGGCATCGTCATAGCTCACTGCAGCCTTGAACTCTTGGACTCAAGCGATTCTCCTGCCTCAGCCTCCCCAGTAGCTGAAATTACAGATTTGTGCCACCATAGACAGCTAAGTTTTCTTTTTTTGTGGAGATGAGGTCTTGCTCTTGCTCAGGCTGGTCTCAAACTCCTGGCCTCAAGTGATCCTCCTGCCTTGGCCTCCTAAAGTGCTAGGATAACAGGCATGAGCTACCGTACCCAGCCTAAATATGCCACAGTTTAGTTAACCATTTTCCTGTTGACATTTCAATTGTTTCCCCTGTTTTACTAATACATGTTGAGTATTCATAATCCAAAAATCCAAAATGCTCCAAAATCTGAAACTGTTTGAGCACCAACATGATGTTCAAAGGAAATGTTCACTGGAGGATTTTGGATTTTGAGATTAGGGATGCTTAAGTCGTAAGTATAATACATATATATATTCCAAAATCTAAAAAAACCTGACATCTGAAACACCTCCCAAGAAATTTGAATACGGACACTCAGCCTTTATAAACAATGCTATAAAATACTGTTAAATTTCAGTGTGCACATATGCAAGAGTTGCTATATATTTATACATGGAATTGTTGGGTTCCAGGGTATATGTATCTTCAACTCTGCTAGATATTTCTAAATTCCTATCCACTGTGGCATTCTTACTAACAATACACTAGTTCCTATAATTTTATTCATTGACAATAGACATTAAAAATGTCAATCTGATGGGTATGAATCTGGAAAACTTAGTTGCTCTATTGATTGTAGTAATTAATGGTTTTCCTTTTCTGTTTCTTTTTTTCCTTCTCAAAAAGGGAGCAATGAAGTCAGAAGGCTTGGGTTGATTGGCTATGACCACAGGAAGTTCACTTAACATTTTTATGTCTGGTCTTCCTCATTTTGCCATGTGTTTTGTTACAGATGTAACCTGGTATAACATGTAAAATATATTTAATGAGTAACTGAGAAATTATCTAGATAACTGTATTTTAAAACTTAATTAAACAATGATCACTTAATGAGTAAAGCAAATTACAATTTTAATGTTTCTGAAGAAAGTTGAATTACATTTAGCTCATGTCTATTATCTACCTACAAATTATTTAAAATGCTGTTGCCAGCTATGACAGATAAATCCCCAGATCTCAGTAACATTAAGAGTAGTTTATTTCTCAATCATGTAAAATCCTAGGACATGTTACTAATCAGCAGTCTGCATTTCAATAGACAAAAATTCACAGATTAGCTTCATAGTTTTTGCCCTTGGAGTCCTTTGCATCCTATTTATCGAGCTTGGGAAAAGATTAAGCCTATCATGTAGAAGGCTTTCAGGAGCCAGGCCCATGCCTGTATCATTTCTGTATGCATTCAGGTGGTCAGAACTCAGTTACTTGACAAGACTTGACAGCTTGAATAATAATCTAGCCATGTGTATATGAGGAAAAGGGAAGCAGATTTCCTGAATAATTGTTATGGTCAATTACTGTCATAACCTATTAAGTACCCCATAATATGTGAGGCACTAGGGATACAAGTCCCTGTACTTGAAGATCCCACACATTCACTAAATATAATAGAAAACTAAATTAAGAAAAGGAGGCCTTCTTTACATTTTTCAATCTTTTAAACACCACTAAAGTATCTAAAAACTTCGCCTGAGACTTCCAGTTTCCAGACTGGCACACAGGAGCTTAGTAGTTGCCTTTCTGTCCTAACAAGTAGAAAGCTGAACAAACTGAAAAATCAACAACTCTTCTTAGATCTGTCAGAGAAGTGAGGTCACAGGGCAAACCACTGTTCCTCAAATTGGAGACATAGACAGGAGAGTGCAGAGAATCACAACTTACCAGAGCAGAAACCTCCCCTGGAACCAGTGCTAGAAAAACCTAAACTGTAATCCACAAACTGCTTGAGGCTCAGTGTTGACCAGCGTGACAGTTAAAAACTCCAGGTAAGGCTGAGGCAGGAGGATTGTTTGAGATTAGGAGTTTGAGGTTGTAGTGCACTATAATCACACCTGCGAATAGCCACTGCACTCCAACCTGGGCAACAGAGGACCTCTACCAAGTCCTTTCAGTGAACATGTGAGAAAAATCCCTGATGTGCTTCTGGCAAAGGGAGGGGAAAAGGAACAATTTTGAAATACACTATAGCATTCAATTTTTTTTAACAAGGTCTGTCCTTAGGAGAAACTATTTTACCAGAGCCTAACCTAGTGTTTTTTTTTTGTTTTTTTTTTTTAATTTTAAATGAGAGCCCAACTTACCTAAGGGAATGGAAATACCCAACTCTAGCCCATTCTAGCTATCCTGTTGACCTAAGTCAGGGAAAAAGACCAAAAAGCACTGGTGAAGTTCACAGTCCAGAGGTACAGGCTCACCAAAAGACTGAGACCTAATCATAGAGCTATCGAATGCTTCCCCTGCCCTCACACCTTACCACCACATTACTAAAGGCGTATTTACTGCAGTTCCTTTTACCTAGTACATCAAGTCTACCTTTCAATAAAAAATTACAAGGCATGATAAAAGGCAAAAAGTACAGTTTGAGGAAGCTAAGCAGGCATCAAAACCAGAATCAGATATGCCAGGGATGTTGGAATTATGAGACCAGGAATTTTAAAAAACTGATTAATATGCTAAGGACATTAATGGAAAAGGTAGACAACATGCAAGAACAGCAGGATAATGTAAGCAGAAAGATGGAAATAAAGAATCAAAAACAAATGCTTACCTGCTGATTTTCTTCAGGAAAAAAAAATGCTAAAGATAAAAAACAACTGTTAACAGAAATGAAGAAACTGAATAGTTAATAACCCCAAACAGAAAACACTATGCCTAGATGGATTCAACTGGTGAATAATACCAAACATTTATGGACGATATTAGAAGATATTATATCAATCCTCTACCATCTTTCAGAAGATACAAGCAGAAGGAATACTTCCTAACTTATTCTCTGAGACCAGCATTATCATAATACTGAAATCAGATAAAGACATTACAAGAAAACTGCAGACCAATATCACTCATGAACATACAGCAAAAATCCTCTACAAAAATATTAGCAAATCAAATCCAACAAGGTATAAAAAGAATGATAAACCACAATCAAGTAGGATTTAATCCACATATGCAAGGCTGTTCAACATTCAAAAATCAATTAATGTAATCTGTCACAATAACAGGCCAAAGAAAAATCACATGATCATATCAATAGATACAGAAAAAGCATTTGACAAATCTAACACCATTCATAAAAAAACTCTCAGCAAGCTGGCTGGGCGTGGTGGCTCACGCCTGTAATCCTAGCACTCTGGGAGGCCGAGGCGAGCGGATTGCTCAAGGTCAGGAGTTTGAAACCAGCCTGAGCAAGAGCAAGACCTCGTCTCTACTATAAATAAAAAAGAAATTAATTGGCCAACTAATATACATAGAAAAAATTAGCCGGGCATGGTGGTGCATGCCTGTAGTCCCAGCTACTAGGGAGGCTGAGGCAGGAGGATCACTTGAGCCCAGGAGTTTGAGGTTGCTGTGAGCTACGCTGATGCCACCGCACTCACTCTAGCCTGGGCAACAAAGTGAGACACTGTCTCAAAAAAAAAAAACAAAAACAACTCTCAGCAAGCTATAGCAATTGAGGGGAACTTCCTCAATTTTGCTAAAGAATATCTACAAAAAACCTGTAACTAACAACATACATAACAAACTTGAAGGTTTCCAGCTAAGAACAAGGCCTACCTCTGTAGAACTATTGTCCATATAAGCAATTTGCCTTAAGGTCTTCTTAAGAATACTTAAACAATATTTGTGTGTGTGGGGACAATCTTACAGTAAAAAGACATAATAGTAGGAGATTTGGGAAAGGCTGCCCATTTGACATTTAAAAAAACATGATTAAAGCAATATATGTGAAAAGGAATTAAATTTATCCAGACTGTAGAACAGGGCACAATAGAACACAGGTTGAAAACTACTAATTTCTTTTTTTTTCTTTTTTTTTGAGACAGGGTCTCACTCTGCTGCCCTGGCTAGAGTGCCGTGGCATCAGCCTAGCTCACAGCAACTTCAAACTCAGATTTCCTGAGGCTCAAGCAATCCTCCTGCCTCAGCCTCCCAAGTAGCTGGGACTACAGGCATGCACCACCATGCCCAGCTAAGTTTTTCTATATATTTTTAGTTGATCAATTAATTTCTTTCTATTTTTAGTAGAGACAGGTCTTGCTCTTGCTCAGGATGGTTTCAAACTCCTGACCTCGAGCAATTCTCCCACCTCAGGCCTCCCAGAGTGTTAGGATGACGGGCGTGGCTAATTTATCTTAATACACTGTTTTAATTTATTAGATCACCACACAATAAAACTAGGAGTTTTTGCTTTCTCTAGAAAAATGACAAGATCTGTCAAGCTCCTGTTGTAGACCATTGAGAGCTTCTATATCAATGCAATTAGTGGAACCAGTTTCTTTATATTAAAACATCTAAGTCATGGCTTTAACCTGTTTGTACTTCAAATGATGCAGATAACTAAAAAATCACTTATTGCCTAATTTGGCAGGTTTACATAGTGCCCAGATTATTTGAGTTACTCATCAAGGCTTTTTGTTTATTCATCAAGGCTGCTCTGAATTAGCAATTAGCGGCTTTTTCGTGTGAAGCTTAGTTCATTAGTAAATCTAAACACCATGGCATCCAAACTTACACCTCTTTTCTATTGCAGTTACTAGAGCTCTTTCAAGAAATAATAATTTTGAATTCCAGTAAAGAGCTTTAGGTATGAGTGGGAATTTAATAAACTTATTAGGAAAGCCTACTTTCAAAATGCAGTGGTGTTTTCTTCAGAGGCTACCAAAAATAAGGTGGTCAAAAATTAGGCAGCGTATCCTATGCTAGACCTTTAAGCCCAGTGTATATTTTCTGAATTAGATGCTTGAGTTTCTTGACTTTGTTAGCTTACAAGATATTACAAGGAAAGGTAATATTTTATACAGTCCAATAAAGCCTACAGAGACACTTAAAACTCTGAATTCATTCCTTCTCAGCTATTTTCACTGTCTTCAGAACTCTCATTAACGTCTTCATTTTGATATTCCCGCAGCTTTTCAGAAGTCCCACATCAGACTGCAATCAAACGGTTCCCCACAATCTTCGCTTTAACAATTCCTCCCCCGCCCTGCATCAGCAAACTAGGGTATTCTTCACCATAGGTTTGTGGAGAGCTTGTCTACACGTTTGCTCAAAACGCATCTTCCAAAGTTGTATATCTTATCCCTTCAATTCTCTTCCCGCATCCACCCTCCCTTTAGCATATAAACCTCGACTAAATTTAAATCTGTCTCTCTACCCTCCTCCTCCTACCTGCGGCCTATTGCTTCTGCTTTCCCTACTGAACCCAAGTTCCTCTTCCCAGTCCATCCATTTCCCAAGAGAAACAATAACTTCTCTTATTTCAGGGCTTTAAGTACTAGGTCCGTTTTGTTCCTCCGCTTTGGACCTGTGATCCTCCGTGCTTCCCCACCTAGGCCGGACCCCCACCTCGGGAACGCTGGCGTTGCAGCCCGTCACCCGCAGCAACCCTCTCCCTGAAGCGCCACTTCCGGATCTCCGGTGTCTCCACTTTACCGGTCCGCCCCTCTCCCCCAGACATTTCCTAGAGCTTTCTCCTAATTACTAGAGGGGTCAGAGCGAGGGCGTAGGCTAGCGGAACTCCTACTTCAAGAGTCCTACTTCAAGAGGACGCACTGAGTAGTTTCTCCAGCCTGAGTAATCCTGTCCAGCAGCTGAGGCGAGTAGCGAGGGTGGAGGGACAATTTACTTTGAGCACCGAGTGGGGCACTCCCGGAAGTGGAGCTGTTCTGGAGCTGCGTCGCCGCTGGGGGCGGGTGCCAGGGACCGGGAGGTGGAGTGGGCGCCACGGTACTGTTTGGCTTGTCAGCGGAGGGAGCGCGAGCGGGAGCTGGAGCGGGAGGGGAGCCTAACTCTAGTTCTGGTTCTAGCTCTGGTTCTGTGGTGGTACATCCGGTTGGGTTCCGGGAGGCGAAGGCCTCGCGGGGTGGCTAGGCTGGTGAAGGGCTGCAGCTGCCAAAGGGGATCCCGCTTCACTTCATTCTCCCCCTCCAGGAGACTGGCTTTCTTCTGGTCACTACCTCTTCCTCCCACCCCTCGTCAGGGGAGGTGAGGGGAGTTGTACTAGTGAGGAAGTCACAGCTGGAGCGGGGAGTCAGCTTGAGTTTTCTCTGCTTATGGAGGAGGCGAGCCGCCGCTTTGGTAGGGTTTGCTGCTTTTCGGCCAGAAAAATGCTTTTGCTTCCCTGCACCGCCGACTCAAGTAGTTCTCACGTTTCTGTCTTTACCCGTTTCAGCTTCTGCCTTTGACTCCTCACCTAAACGATGCTGGAGTCATATGTAACTCCAATTTTAATGAGCTATGTGAATCGCTACATCAAGAACTTAAAACCGTCGGATCTACAGCTTTCACTATGGGGTGGAGACGTGGTTCTCAGCAAGCTTGAGTTAAAGTTGGATGTTCTGGAACAGGTAAGCTTTGTAGCTGTCATTGAAAACATTTTCACCTTGTTTAGATGTAATCCGTTGTTTTTTGCACTTATGCTACAATTGTAGACTTGAAACATAAAAACGATTTTTCTGCTAATGTATTTTGGACTACCCTGAAAGTAGGGACCTTATTTTACAGAAATGTTTTTAATGGTTTGTTCCTAGTGATGATTTATTAGAATATGATTCCCCAAAGTTGCTTTGACTGACAGGAAAACAATTTCATTGTTCTTATCAGAATTACTCAGCGCATTTACTCAATTCTCAAGCATTACAAATATGCTAATTTATATTGTCAAAATTCGGTAAGACGGTGGGTAATATTATATTCCTGTTTTCCTTTTTGGGCAATGGAAGGGTCTGAAAGATAGCAAGTTCAGATCATAAGGGAAGTTCTTTCTCTCTCACTAATAAAGATGACATTATCCAGGGCATCCTCAGAGCATTGAGTAGACAGATTGAGAATGGTAGTAAAAATGGAAACTTCTTAATTAATTGTTTAAGTTTTGTTTCTTTTAACATGAGAATGGTCTGATGCAAATGAACTGTAACTTCAAAGTTTACATATTCATTAATTCACTTGGTACATTTATACCAAGCAATTCTGTTAGACTTGAGGACCTGTGTAAGCTCAGAAGAGTAAGAGACTAACTGCTTTTTAGGAAATAAGGTAAGACTAATCTGTTGGTGGTAGTTATCATCAATAATTTTTAGTTATATTCCACTGCCTCTTTTATTACTGAATAATCTAGAGTTAACACTAAGAAATAATATTCTTGGCTCCTTCCCCCTTCTCTCTTCAAGGTGAGTTGAGTGTCTTAGTATTTTCATTTTATTTTTTTTAATGAGCACAAATATAACAGCTCAGTTTTTAAATATGTATACACCTGTGCAACTACCATTCAGATCAAGAAATAGAGTATTTCCAGCATGTCAGAAGGCTCACCTATTCCACTTTTAATCAGTACTCCTCACTTCTAAAAGAGGTAAATACTAATCCAACTTCTATCAACATAGACAAGTTTCACCTGTTCTTGAACCTCAAGTAAATTGGAATTACTTGTTGTTTGATTGCTTTTTTCCAGCATTATGGCTAAGATTAACCCATGTCGTTGGATGAGCAGTAGTATGTTTTTTGTATTGCCTACGTTAGTCCACTGTATAAAAATTCCACAATTTACTTATCTAGTCTCCTGTTGATGGAAATTCTGGTTGTTTATACTTTTGGCTGTTAAGAAAACTGTGAACATTCTTGTACATGTATTTTGGTGGACATAAGTATTAATTTCTCTTAGGTGTATACTTAGGAGGTAGGCATATGTTTAGCTTTAATAGATACTGCCAAATAATTTTCTAAAATGGTTGTATCAATCAGTCTCACCAACAATGTGTGAGATTTCCACTTATTTCACATTTTTGATATTGTTTGGCATGTTATTTTAATCTTAGACTTTTTGGTGGATGTGTATTGATATCTCATTGTAATTTTAATTTGCATTCCCTAATGACTAATGGAGTTGAGCACTTTTTTATATGCTTATTGGCCATTTAGAGATCCTCTTTTGTAAAGTCTTTAAGTTTTTTGCCTTTTTAAAAAATTGGGTTTCTATCTTATTGCTATGTAGAGGTTCTTTATATATTTTGGAAATGAGTCCATTGCCAGATATGTTTTGCAATATTTTCTCTATGGCATGTCTTTTTATTCTTAAAGGTGTCTTGATAAACAGAAGTTAATAATTTTAATTATTAATCTTTATCAATTTATCAATCTTTTCCATTATGGTTAGGGCTTTTCTTGTCTTGTTGAAGATATCTTTGCTCACTCCAAGGTCATGAAGATATTTTTATGTTTTCTTTTTAGGAGCTTTATTGTATTCTCTGTCTCATCTCAAATTAATTTTTCTATATGTATGGTAGAGGTCAAGATTCATTTTTATCCATCGATATTCATTTGATCTATACTGTTTGTTGAACTATTCTTTTCCTGTGTAATTGCAGTAAGCCTTTGTTATAAATCAGGTTGCCATGTGGATTGCATGTGGATTTGTTTCTGAACTCTTCTGTAATCTATTTGTCTATTCTTGTGTCACTTGATATTATCTTTTACTGTAGCTTTTATAATAAGTTGATATCTGATAGTGTAATTCCTACAACTTAGTTCTTTTTTCCTTTAAGATTGTCATAAGTATTTTAGGACCTTTGTATTTCTACATTTTAATTTCAGTTTATAATTTTTAGAATTAAGTTCTAAAAAAGAAAAGCTATTGGCATTTTCATTGGGATTACATGGAATCTGTAGATTAGTTTGGGAGGAAATAACAAATATTGGGTTTACATAGTATTGAATTTTTCAATTCATGTACTGGGCAATTGCTTTCTCTATTTATTTATTTACTTGTTTCTTGAGACGGAGTCTCCCTGTTTCCTGGGCTAGAGTGAGTACCGTGGCGTCAGCCTAGCTCAACAAGCAACTCAACTCCTGTGGCTCAGCAACTTGTGCCTCAGCCTCCTGAGTAGCTGGGACTACAGGCATGTGCCACATGCTGGCCATTTTTTTCATTATTTTTTTTAGTTTTCCAGCTAAATTTTTTCCCTCCCTCCCGTCTCTCCCTCTCCTCTCCTCTCCTCTCCTCTCCTCTCCCTCCTCTCTCTCTCTCCTCCCTCTCCTCTCCTCCTCTCCCTCCCCTCCGACTGAGGCTGGTCTCAAACTCCTAAGCTCAAATGATCTGCCCACCCTGGCCTCCCAGAGTGCTAAGATTACAGGCATGATGCTCTCTGCATTTTTAGGCCTTTAATTTCTCCCAGCAATGTTCCAAAGTTTGCAGGGAGATTTTGCATATATTTCATTAAATTTTATCTCTCTTTATTGATGTTATAAATAGCATAATTTTTAAAGAAAAATCTATTTTCTAATAATTTGTTACCAGTGGTTAGAAATGCAATTGATTTTAGTATATTGACTTTCTATCTAGTGGCCTTTCTAACTTGTCTAAAACTTTTTGGTTGGTTCTTTTAGATTGTCTATGTACTATCATGTCATTTGCAAATAATGATGGTTTTACATCTTTCTATCCAATGCTTGTATCTTTTCTTTTTCTTTTATTATTGCACTGGCTCTTATATTAATATAACGTGGAGTAAACTAATTGGAATAGGCATTCTTTTCCAATTTGAGTAGGAAAATGTTCAATATTTTATCATAAAGTATGTTGTTAGCTATAAATACCTTTTATTGAGTTCAGGAAATTCTCTCCTATTCCTTGTTTTCCAGCAAGTTTTTGAAATCATGAATGGATGTTAAATTTTATCAAATATTACATTGAATGATTTGATACCTGATTTTTCTTATTTTGTTAACCCTTTGCACTCGGATGTCGAGTGTGACTCGACACAGTTAGCAAAAATTATAGAGATTAAAATCATTCTTTGAATGTATCAATAATTTGAAATATAAAAAAATCCAAATAAATTTGTATGAAAAGAAACTCCAGTTTTTTATTCTACTGCCATGCTTTGTAAAGTCTGGGGTATTTAAAAAATTAAATCCCGAGTAGAATAAAGGAATTGAGAAAAAAGCAAGTGAGTGCAAAGGGTTAATGTGGTGAATTACATCAGTTGAGTTCTCAATTGTTAAACTAACCATGCATTCCTGGAATAAACTCCAGTTATTATGTTTTTTTTTTTTTTTTTTTTATGTATTGTTGGGTTTGATTTGTTGAATTTTGCTTAACAAAATTCTCCCCTCCCCCCTCCCCTCCGCTTATAAATGATACTGGCGTGTGATTGTTCTTTCTTTTAATGTCCTCATACCAGTTTTGAATATCATAGATATGTTGACTTTATTAAATTATTTGGGAAGTATTCCCTCTTTTGATAATCTGTGGACAAGTATATGTAAGATTGGTATTATTAGTTGTTTTCTTTTTTGGTAGAATATATATAACATAAAATTTACTATCTTAACCATTTTTAAATATACAGTTTTGTGGCATTAATTACATTCACATTGTTGTGCAATCATCACCATCATCTATCTCCAGAATTTTTTT